ATTTATTATCTCCGCGAGTGATCGCAGTTTGAGTATAGTTCTGTGTAAATGCATAGATAAACTGCGCTGTCAGCAGGCATTTCATAATCTAGAACGACAAAAACATTATTAGTAATTCTGATATAACATGCCAGTTGAGAAATGCAATAAAATACGATGTTTTGTTTGTTATATTTCAATATTCCAGAGAATATTATTCAGTGAATTAACATTATCCAGTGAATTATTCTTCACTCTTTAGCCTATTAAACAGCTTATAAACCTACTAAAACTGTAGTTTAAAATGAAGTTGATATGACTCCTTTCCTTTATTTATTTTCAGTCTTGCTGTATTTGTCGATCATATTTGTGTTGTCTACATACTGTGGTCCATTTATTATTTTTTTAAGGGATGAGGAAAAGAGATTCAGACGTTGCTTCCCTCTAAAGCAGTCGCTCAAGTGTATGATATATTTTTCATAGTTTGCAATTGTAAGTCACTGTGAGTAAAAAAAAAAAAAACTATTTAATAAATCATCTTTACAAGCACCTCAGTGTCAGCCGTTTAAACTCGCCTTCGGGTCAGACGAGAATCTGCGGTGAACTATGAAGCAAGACTGAATCAAACTCAGTAATGTCAGGACAAAACAACACCTGAACATAATGGGAAAACGGTTAACACAAACCACAAAGTGCAAAAATCTCTACTTCCTTCTCCTGATTTCTACTGCCAAGCTTGATTATGTTCGGTCTAGTCTATATTTAAAACTGCCAGCAGGCAGAACCGTGTTTGTGTGTGCATATGTGTGTCCTTATCGTGGTAATCTCAAATGGGGTGGACTAACTTTAGCTTTGTATTTTGGGGAACCGGGGCTCCACTCTCTCTACGGTGCCTTTGACCTGGGCTGTGTTTTTGCTGGCCAGCCAGCGGTACACCCTCCCCTTTTTCCTGATGACCAGCCTAAGCAAAACCACCCTTTACACATTTATCTCATTTTTGTAGACCGCAGGAGACAAAATTTAGTTGCTTCACTGGAAATATCCAGCCCTACTTGACATTAGGGGTGTCTAAATTACTTGATTGGTAGCAAACAAACACATCATGCAAGTAATTGTAACACCTTGTTTGTGGTTTTGCAATTAGTATTTTCATGGAATTTTAGAATTCATTATGGACACCTAAAATTAAGTTGGGAGGAAAAAGTACCTTCCTGAGAATTTTTGAGAATTGGCTACGCTGACATGGCTTGGACAAGCGAATAACTATGCTAATGTGAATAGGGTCTCTGTGTGTAGATTTGAGGAGTAATGACCTGTGTGGGGCTCAAGCTAGAGTGTGAAATGAAGCAGTTCAAAGATGTTGACCCTGTTACACACGAGATCTTAAATCTCCATTGCCCCGGCACTCTGT